TATCACAGAATCAACATACACTGATACAATATATCACGGCATCACCACACACGGGCAAATATATCACAGAATCAACATACACTGATACAATATATCACGGCATCACCACACACGGGCAAATATATCACAGAATCAACATACACTGATACAATATATCACGGCATCACCACACACGGGCAAATATATCACAGAATCAACATACACTGATACAATATATCACGGCATCACCACACACGGGCAAATATATCACAGAATCAACATACACTGATACAATATATCACGGCATCACCACACACGGGCAAATATATCACAGAATCAACATACACTGATACAATATATCACGGCATCACCACACACGGGCAAATATATCACAGAATCAACATACACTGATACAATATATCACGGCATCACCACACACGGGCAAATATATCACAGAATCAACATACACTGATACAATATATCACGGCATCACCACACACGGGCAAATATATCACAGAATCAACATACACTGATACAATATATCACGGCATCACCACACACGGGCAAATATATCACAGAATCAACATACACTGATACAATATATCACGGCATCACCACACACGGGCAAATATATCACAGAATCAACATACACTGATACAATATATCACGGCATCACCACACACGGGCAAATATATCACAGAATCAACATACCCTGATATAATATATCACGTTATCACCACACACGGGCAAATATATCACAGAATCAACATACACTGATATAATATATCACGGCATCACCACAAACGGACAAATAACCACATAATCAACATCACCACACACAGGAAAATATATCAGTGTCATATGAAAATTGAATACAGATACATGAATATGGTTTAATTATAAGTCAATCAAATAATTTTTAATTTTATAATAAATTTCTGTCTTTAAAAAAGGTAACTGAAATCAATGAGAATGCGTTTAGCGATATTAATAGTTCAAATCGCTTTTTTAATGCAACGATTTCGATGCTTGGTTTGGTTTGGTTTGGTATTGTTTTACGTCCTATCAACAGCTATGGTCACACTATACTGACAACGGGCGAACCAGTCGCCCCACTCCTAAATAGCTGAGCGTTAAGCAGGAGTAGAAACAGACTGGTACGTCTTGGCCAGGGGACCGAACCCAAGGCCTTTATCACAGTGGCGAACGCTCAACTAACGGCCAAAAGTGAGGCATTGTTAAGGGCGACATTAGGAAGAAGAAAGTTGTTTAGAAAGAAGAGAAAGGATAAGATCCCAAATTAAGTAGCCTCTAACGATCATGCAATGGGGACAGCATGTACAATTCTTACGTCCTACCTGCCGGGACTTTGATGCATATTTTGGCAAATGTTGTTACCTTGGTGGTTTTGTATACTCAATGATTCAACAGACGTACACATTACACTACAACTTGTCACATAACTTATTCTTATGATTTTCTTGAGCCCAAAATAGATCAAAAATGCATTATCCCCAAGGTTTGGTGTTTGGGCTACATTTGGGGTATGATGATTGTAGTAACTGCATGTGCAGATATGACATTTGTAGCAAATTATGAAACAAAGCAATGCTAACCATCCTTTATATTCATGTCCTCTCGTTTGACATAGATCAATAATAATCCAGATAATCTACCCATCCCCGTGTATTGTATTTTTACTTCGTGTGTTCGTTATCAACTTAATCCATGTATAATCAGGTGGTTATTTCTGTCATGAGTGAATCAGCAAGCCTGACGTCATGAAACCTAATCTTTCTCTCCCTATAGTACTAAACTAAACGGAAGACAGCGACATCTATGTAAATCACAAGCAGGAATTCGATTTTTTATATACTTATATTTCAGATACCGGCGTCTCTCAAATCTTTGATGTATTCACATACTGTTTTGTCTAATTCACTGTCCAGCAATGTCGCCGTCCCCTTTTTTTGGGGACCACTTCGTCGATATCGTCAGTTCCATCATTTTTACGTTGAAGCAAATATGATTTTTTAGGCTAAACGTAACGCATTTACGTTGCAGCCTTTTGTCAACGCCTCTGAAGCCTGTGTACAACTACAATCCTAGCGTTTTTATTGGTCTAAATCTTCCAACAAGTTACTAACACCACCTAGTGTTGAAATTTGTAAACGGTCTGTCATAAAGGTATTGCCGCCATTACTCAAAATGGTTTTCTGCATACATACAATTGCTGCCAGACAAACAATAAATAAACAAGAAGCTTTCCCTATCAAAAAAGTCACGCATTTCTGACACACGTCAAACATGCATTGCTCTAGTTTACATTTATTCTCCGATACATGACAATATGGCGGGGCGAACTGGATTATGGGATGACTGACTTCGAAGTCCATACTGCTGATTTACCGGAGTATTCAAACTGTTGATTTTTGTTTTAAAAAAAAAGAAGAATGGTATATCAATCATCAAAAAAGTCATCTCAATATAATTATATATTCCGCATCACATAATCCTACACACTTTGAATCACTTGCTATACATATTTATTACATTTTTGACAGTGAAATATCGGATTCTATCAACCTGATAAAACTGTTATTTTTCACACTGTGACAAATATCAAAAGTGATATTTTCACACTATTGTGTTTAAAACACTATTTGAGGACAGCTCATATTCTATAAAAACGAATCAAGTCGTTCCGGCATCTCCCGGTCCAACATCCTTCTCGTTCACCCCGGCCCCTAAAAAATGTGATGGCTGTCTACATACATAGATCTACTGGAACATTACGTTTGAATATATTTTTGATGTAATACAAATGAACTACGCCTTTCTATTTTATCAAGGACCTTTATATAATATTAGCTGAGAGCCATGAATAACCACGGACTTGTATATATATAATTAGTCCGAATTATTCTGACGTTTTATCTACTTTTTTTCATATCGGTCTGTCGTTAATAGACGACAGACCGATATGAAAAAAGTTGATAAAACGTCAGAATAATTCGGACTAATATATGATATATGTTCGTGGAAGTATGAAAAGTATATTTATTTCAGCAAACGCCTTTGAAATCTCGTACTCGGGGAAGGGGGATGCTCATACTTGTCAGCAGAAACATTTGCAAAGGGTAATTAATGCATATCTATACATGTATGTGTTATTCAGTGTATTGACTTCGGGTTTTTTCAAATCGTTTACGAGACAGCTAGATATTTAACACTAATTTAACAGATTAAACATGGCTGACGTGCAACTAACAGTGATAAATAACGGCGCTCAAAACCATTTTAAAACTTTTTATACGATTAACTTAACAGATAAACCCAAACCCATATAAGGCGAACCGTGACTGACACGCGTATTTAAAACGATTATCTGTTGTAAATCTTATGTAAAGTATAGATGGCATTCTCTATAAATTTAAGTTTCAATTGTAAAACTTGTTATTACTTTCATTTTGATCATCTTCACCACAATCCAATTCCTCAAAATCCGAATTGAAAACGGATTTTGAGTTTTGGCATGCTATTCAGTTACCAAAAGCTACATTCACAGTACCAAGTGATATTGGAAAACTTTTTCATAGACAGAGGCAGCACATTTGATGTTTATAATGAAATCATAAATGTAAAAATGAAATATCTGAATCACCTATATTGTTTGTTGCAATTTCTTTTGTTAACTTGTTCTTTATATTAATATTAGAAGTCTTAACCGAGCTAAGATTAACTAAGGGTGCCATCAAATTTGTAAAACATTGTTCTATTGTTTGTAAATTTCATTTGAAATCCCCCACTTCAATATTTTATAATAACGACTTGTATGATCAGACTTAGCTTGATGGTGCCCTTAAAGCTTAAAGATGATGTAAATTGACAACGTAATATGTTTAGCCTTTCAGGACTTTCAGTACTTTGATTAATTGTTCGTACAGTATACTCTCATTCACCGAGTGTCCAAGTATACAAGTCGTTCGAAGATCGCATACTTTGCAATCTGTGCCTTCTGTTCTCGGATATAATGCACGTAGACACCTCTTTCTCTTTTTTCCCTGACCCTAGAGTTTTTTGTATATTCTTGTTAAACAATTTCATCGAGCGATTCAGCTAGAAGTGTTTTTTTCTGGTGTGGCTGCTTTGTCTGGATCTGGCAATCCCACAAGCTTTGTCTAGATCTGGCGATCCCACAAAGCTTTGTCTGGATCTGGCAATCCCACAAGCTTTGTCTGGATCTGGCTATCCCACAAGCTTTGTCTGGATCTAGCAATCCCACAAGCTTTGTCTGGATCTGGCAATCCCACAAGCTTTGTCTGGATCTGACAATCCCTCAAGCTTTGTCTGGATCTGGCAATCCCACTAACTTTTCTGGATCTGGCAATCCCACAAGCTTTGTCTGGATCTGGCAATCCCACAAGCTTTGTCTGGATCTGGCAATCCCACAAGCTTTGTCGGCGTTTTTGTTAAGTATTTTAGGATCGACATGCTAGTGAACACAAAAAATAAGACACACATACACATGAATACAGTTTATCTTTATTTGCATCTGTCCAATGACCAGTCGGTGCGCATACGTAACATGTCTATTTACTCAGTAGCTACTACTATTTTCACATGATTTTGTACTCAACTCAAAAATGCCCTGCCGGTTATTGTTTTTATTCGAAATGTTTTTTAAAAACATGCATACGGTTGTCCACTTATTGAACAATGGATTTCAGTTCCTCATTCTGTACACTATTAAAACGGTAGGTTTCTGCTGAAGTAAACGGTGACGGGATAAAGCTGCGAGATTGTAGCTTATTACCTCATTCTGTACACTATTAAAACGGTAGGTTTCTGCTGAAGTAAACGGTGACGGGATAAAGCTGCGAGATTGTAGCTTATTACCTCCAAGTCTTATCAGCAATCGGCTGGGATTTATGGCGAACAGATGAATGTGCCACACCCCAATGCACGAAGCCATGAACAAGTGCGATACATTTAGTGCAAGATAAATTTCTCACCTTTAACAGAGCTGGTACTGGCTTCCACCTGGATCTATACCAATTGGTGATGTCACTGCCATACGGTGCTTCTGAATCAATCATATGCACGGTCTGACAGTCACGGTTCATCACCAACGACGTCATCAGTTGATCATCGATCTCACCTATAGGTCAAACTATACGGTCATTGGTATAAATGGATAACAACTTGGTAACAGATTTATTGTTTTAACAAAGCTTATTCGTCTAAAACAAATTTGAGCAAACAAACCACACCGGGACAGTCAACAGCCTCTTTTTACAACATTGATCCTTGTGCTCACATACACAAATATATCACATGTAAAGTATTCTGGGTTTGAGCGTTTAATAAGATAGTTCAGTTAATGTTTGATAAATATAAATTCCAATCTTACTAAGTAAATAGTATGCTTTGCAATGTTTAACAATATCTTAATCATCTTACAGTTATGAAGATAACGCTCAGAAAACATTTTGAATGAAACACTAACAAAAACATAAAAGCACGGACGAAAACATACCTGACGCTTTAAACCCATAAGTCGTCCCACCATTCGTTGACACCAACTTTAGATGGCCTTTGGTGTTGTGAGGAAATAAAGCAAACAAAAAAGCCCACTTTAATTCTTTGAAGGCTGAATATTCAATTTATTATTTCCTAAATTGTATTTCATTTATCAAGCGAAAAAGTACTCTAAAATGAACCATATCGAGTTTTCATCTCGTCGTCTTCATGACTTGTGAACGAACGGTAGAATAATGAATATCGCGAGGTTTATGAACCCGAGGTCGGATTTTAGCCAATTGAGATTCGGTATGGGAATAACTGTTTATCTGGGGCTGCTTCGTTTTAGAACTACCTCTGACCGAAGTGGGGATAAATCAGGCGCTTTTAGCATCGTTGACTTTCAAGCAATGATATGGGAACTTTTCACGGTGCGCATGTTTACAAAATCATCACACCGTTATCCTTTGTGCTTGCTACTCCGTCGTGTTGCTTAGACTGAACGATTGTTTCAAAATCATCAACGCTTATCCTCCAGATATTTATATATTTAGCCTGAGGCTTGACTTACGTTACCAAAGCGACTCTGAGGACTCCTTTGTTGGCCTTCAAGACGCACTAGGCTTTTGTGTACCTGGAGAACATACAAGTGTGCTAAATTTATGTAATACAACACTTGTATATTTATTGATAAAGAGTGATGGGATTTGGTTGAATTTCTTGGGCTCGTACTCATGACACCATGCTCATGCTGCAACTCTGGTTCTGTGCTCGAGCCCAATTACGTGTTTCCGTGATAGATAAATACAAAAATCACATTTATCAATGATATGGAATAAGTTTGAAGAGACTTACAGCCGAATACAATTTTCAATGTTTACACTTGACTTTTTCACTGTGTTACATGATTTAAGGATGTACTCTTCTGAGGTTTCAGTCACGTTGAAGTCTCGTTTTGATCTGGTCTAACGGGTTTTTGTAATATTTAACAAATTATGATAGGTATAATAGCAAACCACATCTGAAAAACATGTAAAAAAACTAGATGTCTGTTGTGTGTAGAACATTTTTTACAAGAATTGTTAAAAAATGACCAATTTGGCGGCCATTTTGAAAAAGTGTATTTATGTGAATTTCTTGCCTTCACAAAGGGCCAAACTTTCACCTTTTTTGACACTAGATTGATCACTTAAATTGTCATTGTGACAACATTTTTAATTGTAGCGGGTTTAATTTTGCTGTACAACTTTATAATGTTCAACATGATTAAAATAATATGCAAAAAAGTGGAAAGTTATATATTATTGATATTTTTTTTTTACATATTAGGGTAACTGAAGCACTTTTGATTTTTGACCCCGAAAAAGGTGAAAAATAGCACAAATAATAATGGGACAAAAAAAGAAGCACACCGACCCCCCATTTTTGTGGCTGTTTAAGAAAGAGAAACATATTTTCTTTTGATTCATTGAACACTAAAAAAGTTTAATACAGATTTTTTTTTATATCAAGCGTTTAATCTGCAATAAATGGTGAAAAATGTGCATTTTTTCATTAGAAAATAAGAGGTAGTGGTAATTAAAATCGCATTTCTGAGTTAAATGAATAAGATCAAGAAATTTTACTTCCATAGTTTCAAAGAAAATAATATTTTTTTCAATTCTACAAACATTCATACATATCTGATAACACACTTTGAAGAAATTGTATGAATTTGTTCTGCAAATGGTCAAAATCCGAAAAGTCACCTAAAACCACATATTGTGTTAAATTGGTATCTTCGACCGATCATAGCACAAAAACAAGCACACGGACATATAGTTTTATTTTCATTTTCTACTATGCCATTAACTCCTTTTTCCAAAAATCTATATAAGAAAAAAAGTTTAATACAGGATTTTTTGACTTCTCAGAGGTGTACATCCTTAAGCGAGTTACAAGAAAGTTGGCTTGGGTACAGAATACATGCTTGAGCTTGAAAATCGTGTCATTAATACGGGCCCTGGTCATGATTGTATATCGTCAGAAACTTATAACAGATGGTTGTTGCTTGTATTGTGATCGCTGTCAACCGAAAGTCAAACATTACCTCGAGGAATCTTTAATTATCTTAATCAAGCTAATATTTAAAAATATCTAACCTCTATAGTCTGTGATAGCAGCAATAAGTATCAATTTCTCAATGTCAATTTAAGATACTAGCCATTATTAAAACTAGCGATTGTACTTATTTTGTGCGTTGATTAAACCAAATCCCCTAAAATGACTTCATGTTTGTCATCTGCAACGTGAAAAGATGGAAATCTCACAAATAAATTTACATATTTATAATTCGGCTCGAGAAATATTTAATCAAGACATGAAATATGAGCATACGTGCATAAAACCTATATAGATTGTCTGTACCTTACAAATTATCTGTAATTTAAGAAAAATAAGGCTATAAATTCGCCTCCATATGGTTTTATAGATAAATGTGGAAAACACCGGCTATGTTATTGCCAGACGACCCTCACAATCAGTGCGAGTTATCGTCCTTGACAAGTATAAATCATAGCTGAGAGACAAAGCAATGGAATTCAGTAGATGTTCTTTACGGTGTGACGTGTTTGATAAAAAGTAACCCCAGAAATAAACAAGCCTTAATATTGTTTAACTATGTGTGCCTACAATAGATTTCGGTACGTGAAAACAATCCTAAAACTGTGGAGAATTGCCTTAACATGTAACTAACAGATTTATATGTCAGTGATGCATAGGAAACCTGGCTTTATCATCATTTTGTCATAACAACCGAGACGTATATATTACAATAAATATTGTAATATATACGTCTCTGAAAACAAGAATAGTAGAAATTTATATTATGTTTCCCCTGTCTATCTATTGGACAGAAGATGATAGATAATGGCTGAACGTGGAAAACAATACGTATTATGTTATCTGTGCTGACTCAAAATAACAATACATCTCGTAATATACACATGAAGGCAGGTCGTGAGGTTAATCTATTCATAGATACTGAAAGCCCTCCATATTGAACTATTGCTCAATACAACACAGCCCATACGATTGGAAATTTGTATTCTCGCTCGGTATTTATAAATAAATATAAATATGACATCTATCAAAACGTGTGCGCGTTGCGTTCTAAAGGCAAAACAGAGAAAAGGACAGTGATCTTGCCAGCGACCTAGTTAATCCTAAAAAGAGAAACAATAACAAACTTCGGACGTAAGTATTTAGTAAGACATGTCTATGATTGTGACCAAGTAAATGATCTAGAAGGTGCACTTACTATCACCCGGGTTGGCAGGTTTACTGAGTGTTTTATATCAACCCTTAAAACGTCTAATATTAATCTCTACACATCAGGATGTGATTGGACCTATCCTGATGTGTAGCGTACCATTAGGGGGCTAGATGATAAACACTACGTGCAAAGGCCCCGTCCTACATTACTAGGAGTTAAGATGATAAATACTACGTGGAATTTAGATGATAAACACTACGTAAAAATGCCCCGTTCTACATTACTCCCGACGTTCTGTTATTGTTCACCACCAATGACTGTATCGATATATGTATAATGGTCAACTCCCCGCCCAGTGTTCTCAACCACCAGGAACGAAGAGGCTCACCAGACCAACCTGTAATAGGAAAGAAGTAATTAAATGAATCAGCATACTATCATTACGCTAAATGATAATTCCTCTAGTCAGAGTTGGAAGGCGTCTTTAACACTATATGCACAATGTGCCTCCTAAACACAATTTAAACAGTCGGGATCAAGTGAAACAGTCTCACGTTTATTAATTTTTCACGCCACTTGAATTCTTTCTTGTATTCAATTAAATATTAAAATTGTTATTAACTAATGGAACGTATTCAGATTATTTCATCATTTTAAGCTAAGGTTACCTATCAAAGTAGCATTTTAAATTGAAATGTGCCATTTTTCACATGCGTGTTTAATGATAGTATACAGTGGCTTCACTTGGGAATACCTCGCTTTTAGCCTTGGTGTTGAACGTTTACCCAAGCAGGGAAGGTTTTGGGTTCTGTCCATGGCCAAGACAAACCAACGTCTTTAAATTTGGGACTTGTGGACATGTAACCAGTGGAGTGTTGTACTGGGTGCCTTTGGCATCATATTTCAGTGAGGTGGCACTCTTAAGTCGGCACCAGATCTGCGCTGTTGCAGGGAGGAACATACACGAGTATATTGCCTCCAGCTTACACGCGTACATTTTACACACGAAGGCAGACCAATGACATTAACTGTTGATACGATGCTAAGCCCAATAAACCAATTACTCTGCAGAAACCGTCGACAAATCAAATCTTTATCGTCGTATATTTAGCTCACTTGGCCCGAAGGGCGTCCGTCTGTCGTCCGTCTGTCGTGCGTCCGTCCGGCGTCAACTTTTTACTTTAAACAACTTCTTCTGAAAATCAAGAGGCCCAGGGTGATGATATTTGGCCAGTAGCATGCTGGGATGAAGGGCTACCAAGTTTGTTGAAATGAATGACCTTTGCCCAATTTCAAGGTCACATGGGTCAAATATGTTAAAATCTTTAAACGACTTCTACTAAATAACCAAAATGCCCAGGGTGGTGGTATTTGTCCAGTAGCATGCTGGGATGAAGGGCTACCAAGTTTGTTCAAATAAATGACCTTCACTCATATTCAAGGTAACAGGGGTCAATTGTCTTTAAAAAAAATAAACAAATTATATCAAAACACGCAACATTTTTGTAAGAGTACGAAATATTCGCTACACATATGTCGTCAGAATCACCTGGGACCGCTCCACAGATGAAAGATACAATGATTAATCAAATGTTCGGTGGCGCAGTGAAAAGCGCACTCGTCTTTCACAAATACGACCGGGGCTCGACTCCCCTATTTTAGGTCTCACTGGTAACTAACTATACTATGATAATAAATGATTGGCCTAAGTGAACATTTGCGTGAAACAAAGAGAAAAAGGGGGCAATACTTACTCGTGAAGAGGAAGATGGAGGGAGGAGGGAGGAAGGAGTGGGACAAAATTGTTCAATAATTTCTCTTTTTGTGGAAATGATATATAACATTTTGCCGCCGATATTGGGACTGACTGGCTTCCACAAATCTACCTATGAGTACAGTTAATATTTATTGTATGCAGATATGGAAGATATCAAATATTCCTTGAAAGATTTCTTCAAAGACTTATAAGATGTTTTTATCTAATACTTATAAGATAATGTATGTTTGTATACCAGAGATAAGGTATCTTACCGGTATATGTGTGCGATTACGATAGCTCAATGAAGAAATATTTGCATAAAACAAAGGATCGACAATTCCTCTCTGAAGAAATATAATATTTTCTTGCCATATAAAACAGAAAATACACTTCAATGTTTACTAATAATTATGACTTCGCATTATATTAATAAAACAGAACTCATTCACCGACAATTGATCTTCTTATCGTAAGGTGGCAGTACTATTATGTTCCTCGCAATAATAAATGCGCTCCTTCCTAATAACAATGCATTTTCTTGTAAGAATAATATGGTCCTCGCAGTAGCATTGCGTTCCCTTCTAACAGTAATTGTGTTACCTCGCAGTAGCATTGCGTTCCCTTGTAACAGTAATTGTGTTACCTCGCAGTAGCATTGCGTTCCCTCCTAACAGTAATTGTGTTACCTCGCAGTAGCATTGCGTTCCCTTCTAACAGTAATTGTGTTACCTCGCAGTGGTATTGCTCTTTCCAAAACACCCTAGTATACAAACAGATGCTTGATTTGATAAAAATATATTAAAAATTAGTTTAGATACTTAGCTATATAGAGATATGGTGAAAGGAATGGTAGCCGTATGGTTAGGGACGTCAGACGCACGTCTTGATAGAAATCAGGAAGCTAAGTAAGCTGATACCTATCCATAAATACCTCTACCGTCCGATATCGACCCGACCGACACGTCACGATGTAGCTGTGTGTTAATGGGTTTAAATACACAACGTTCTGTCTGAAACAACCAGGTAGATATATTTAGCAACGAAGTGTGACTCTCGGTAAATTCAAAACGTGCGGGCCGACAGAAAGGCTGACAAAAATATCCGCGTGTAGTCACGACTTGGCCCTAAAGCTAAGTCAGCCGAGCGGAACACAACGCGTCAAAATATACTGTATGTCTTTACTACCTAGTCTAATAACAAGTATTACGGTATATCGAAAGCAGTATCACATACCTACATACATGCACTAGTCAGTGTTAATGGCTTTGCCGAGATGGTTGATTGGACTACACGGATATGTGCGTCTGGAATAGTGTGTTCGTATCAGCTGATCAGTTTAAATGTCGAATTTATGTTTATAATACATAATTAATTATTTTTTTAGTGATGAGCTTTTTCTTATTGGATACAAGTGGATCTCTATCAGAAATTCCATGTTACGGTAAGTTCACGTTTCGGGTATATTCAAGTTATATTGTCTTGAAATTTAGATAAAAATTAAATAAATGAATGAAAACAACAAATAACTGAAATAGTAATAATACTAACGCCTTCTATTGTACAAAGAATGGTCAAATAGCGGGTAGGTCTTGTTTTATTAACGTCATATTATTTTACTTTTTTTATAAAATCAAGTGCATGTGGTATGATAAAATAAACTGTTTATAAATAGAATATATTGACAGGTCCGTGGTGACAGTTTGGGGTGATGTTGTGGGGTGGGGGTGGGGTGATGTTGTGGGGTGG